GGAGGCTGAGGCAGGTAGATTGCCTGAGCTCAAGGGTTCAAGACAAATCTGAGCAAAGGCGAGACCCCGTATCTAAAAATAGCCAGATGTTGTGGCGAGTGCCTGTAGTCCCAGCTGCATGAGAGGCTGAGGCAAGAGAATTGCTTGAGCCCAAGAGTTTGAGGTTGCTGTGAGCTGTGACGCCATAGCACTCCACCAAGGGTGACAAAGTGAGACTCTGTCTCCAAAAAAAAAAATCAACTGATTTTGTCTTTTCTGAGTAACAGGCTCCCCTCTCCCTTTTTTTATTTTCAGGACAGTATCTGCCAAACTCACAAGTCTAAATAGCCATAGTTGGTCCGTTGGCAGTTCAAATAAAAATAGTGTGTTTTTATTATTGATTGTTGCTATAGTATAACAGTACCACAACTTGGTGTCTTCCACAAGCACAAAGTTAGTTATCTCACACGTCCTTAAGTTAGAAATTCAACATGGATCTTCCTGGCTAAAATCCAGGTATTGGCAGGGCTGGGCTCCTTTCCGAAGGTTCTAGGGGTGAATCTGTGTCCAAGCCTCTTCCAGCTCCTAGAGGCCACCCACATTCCTTGGCTTATCACACCTTTCTCCAAAGCCAGCGTTTTTTGCATCCTCTGGCCCTGCCTCGCTTGTGGTGACGTTCATCGTCTTCTGCCTTTCACTTTTAAGAACATTGTATGAGATTGGGCTCACCTGGATTGTCCAGGACACATTCTCTGTATGCTGACTAGCAGTTTTAGTTAGATCTGTAACCTTAGTTCTCTTTTCCTCTGCAAAATTATATTGTCACAGATGCAGAGATTAGACCACAGATGACTTTAGGGCTGGAGTCGGGTGGTGGGGATTATTCTGCATACCACAGTCTTCTACGAAAAGAACAGCTAGTTCATCTTGCAACTTAGTGGAACAAATGCTTTCCCTTGAGGGTATCTATCATAAAGTACTTCAACAGGCCACGAACGCTTTATGCATGCTCCCCATTCCACCATACAGAGTATTAAAAAGCATATGCTCAAGTATCTAGATTAAGGATAAGTTAGTATTTTATCGCATCATCAAGGACATTCTTAATTGGATCTTTATTTGGGAAGGGGGTGAGTATACATACGTGAGTATACAATGCGTACTGTACTTTTGGTCCCAAGGCTTCGATTCATGCTTAAGGTACCAGCAGTTTGACTCACAGGTAGTGAAAAATGCCAAATCACCTCTTAAAAGTTACTATGAAGACAGTTTTGACATCATGCTTCCCTCCATAAAAAGTGTCTCAGAGATCCTCCAGAGTTCACAATCCATACTTTGGGAACTATTGCAGATTGAAGTCTTCCAGTGACCTTTTAAAATTTCTAGATTAAATTAGACCATGTCAAGGGATTTATAAGAATGTAAGAACTGGGTTGTTCTCATGGTCTGTGCTGCCCCTGTGGCCTTCCTTGGGCATGACACCAGGGAAGGCTGGGTGAAATGTGGCACTTCTTAAAAGGTCTCTTATTCAAATATGTTTCTACTGGTGAAGGGTGGGGACTTCAGCATACATCTTCCCAGGAACTCCAGGGCATATAAGTCAGATGGCAGTATCTGTTTCTTTGATTCTGTCTCAAAGTGCCCACTTTATGAGATAAAGAGGAGAGTTATATTCTGTTGGTTTCTAGCTGTGGGAAGCCCACATCACACTTGGAAGGTTTTGAAAGATACTTTACTTGGTTGAGATTCAAGACATCGCAAAGATAGCCTTTGTCCGGTTGGACTGATCATTGTTGCTTTTTATAAATACGTGCATTTGTTCAGTGCCCAGATACTTATATGAACAGTTTATGTGCAAGCTGGAATCACAGAAGCACTGTTAAATGACCCAGAGATTATCCAAAGCAGAATCTTAAACTGTGGATAACCCAGCCTGTTTCCAGGATGGCTTCCACTATCACCGTAACTCTGTTTTGAACATTATATTACATGTTGTGTATTCATAAACACAAACCCAAAATCACTGTTTCAGGTGACCTCTTTAAATAATCCGGAATCTCCAAACCATAGCTTTAACTCCGCATAAATTTGTTCCTTCCCTTGGAGTATTTCTTGTTACTTTTATATCACTTCTCCTTAACAGCTTCTCATTCTGGCAGGGAACCTGGTTGCTAACTAAGGATTCTAGGAGCCTGGGTTCAGAGAATACCACCCACCTTTGATTTATTTGGAGTAGAAGTCAAGGGTACAGTCATAATGTCACCTTTGGGAATAGAGTAGATGACACTTGGCACGGTTTCAAACCCAGAGGAAATTTGATAGTCTAGAGTTGCCTGATCCTCTTAGAAGGAGCCTTCCTTTCACAGCTGGCAAACCCAGTTAGTTCTGTCTGTAGTGGAATTCCCTAGCACATGAGAAATCAGTCAGAAGAAGGGGGTACGTCGCCCTGGGATTCTGCTTGTCAAGTGCAGGGGAGAGTTTTTCTTATCTTCATTCTATAGCAAAGTTGTACGTATATTAGGGAGTCCTTTTGAATGTTGGCGTGAAATCTTAGGCTTTTATCTAAGGAGTTTCAAATTGTCACCCACAAATTAAGTGTCACTGCAGTGCCTTCAGTGGATCGGGGTGACTTTTGTTTTGCATTGTTGCATGTGAAGGCTGATCTGGAAGGCACAGACAGACACCATCTTCCTTTCTCCTTGCTTTATGTCTGTGTTATAATCGTTCTCCCTGGATGGGGAGTCAGATAATGACGGGGCCTGGGATTTGGCTATATTGAAAACTTCTTTTGTAATAGACGTAGAGACTACCAGTACCTTTTTATTTGTTGAGACATACTAGGGCACGCAGCTCAATTCTAAGGCCTCCCAGAGACAGGCCATACCAATCCTAGCACTCCGGGAGGCCCAGACGGTTGGATTGGTTGGGCTCAGGAGTTCAAGTGAGCAAAAGCGAGATCCCATGTCTACTAAAAATAGAAAAAAACCCAAAAAACTCACCTGGTGTTGTGGCAGGCACCTGTAGTCCCAGCTACCTGGGAGGCTGAGGCAAGAGGATCAGTTGAGCCCCAAGAGTCTGAGGTTGCTGTGAGCTGTGATGCCACGACACTCTACCCAGGGTGACAAAGTGAGACCCTGTCTCAAAAGAAAAATAACAATAATTAAAATGAAGTAGAAGTAGCAATAATGTCAGATTGTATGCCATTTTTAAAATGTTCCAATATTGTTACATCCAGTTATTTGCAAGTTTCAGACTTGGAACTTTGGCTTCCACCCACCCGAGCAGGTAAAATGGAATCAGTTTGTATAGTTCTGACACTAGCAGCTCCCGTCGGTGGGTCACATGGAGGCTATGGAGCTTCCTGGTCAGCTAAGCAGGGTGCAGGGCAACCAAAGGCTTTTCTCCCAGTGCCTGGCAGAAATCACTATTCTGAACCATTTGGTTTGGAAAGTTCCCAACAAAGATAGTTTGGGTTCCCAGTCCCTTCATGTGTTAATAACATGGTTGGATCTGTTTCAAAATTCCCAAGTTTTCAGATTTTAAAAGGGTAATAAAATGCATATACCATATAGTAATATTCCCAGTGGAATCTGAGGCTGTACCCCACAATCAAACACATTAATATTTATGCAGGGAACTATGAATATTCCGCTCCTCACAGAGAGAATAAATTTAAAATACTAATGTCAGCCCCATATCAAGTTTTGCTGCCAACTGTGTTTGCTTAAACTTGGTTTTTACCTTTCAACTTCAGAATTGCAAATAAGAGGTTGTAGCCATATGGTGCAGTGATAGAATTGGGGTAAGACCGGCCTGGCTGTGTCCTGGTGGTGTTTGAGGGAGCCGAGTCACAGGACTGACTGGCTGTGATCTTGTGTCTCAGAGTAGCTGCTCTGACGGAGTAACTGCTGGACGGTTACTTTCTCTTCCCTTCCCTGATCTGCTTTTCTCTCTGTCAAACTAGTGATACTTGCCTTGAGGGTTGTTACGAGGATAAGAAGTTAACTGTATGTTAAACACTGAATGTAATGTTAGGCATATACTATACAGTAAATATCTGATAAACACTGGCCATTAAAATTCACTTCATCCCTCCTCCTTTTCTTTTAATGTCAAAAAGTCATTTCTTATTAAATGATCAGTATCACCACCATAAGATTTTTTTGCCACGCAACTAGACTTTTAAATGCTAAATAAAATGCTTTGATTATTATCATGTATTTAAATCTCTTGAGTGCTTCATTTTAACTGCATTTGAGAAGGAAATACAGTAGAACCTCCATAGTTGACCCAAATTTCATAGGACAGACATGGACCTATCAGCCCAGCAGGCCTACCTCCTCACGTTGACCAGTTTATTGCGGTCCTTTGGAGGCTCTGTATTCGTCACCAGCTGATTTGCTGTCATGGAGTAGCTTTTAAAGTTTCTCTGCAGGCACTCAGCTGTAAATAAATATTTAAAAGGAAAATTGTTCTGTGTACCTAGTTGATGATACCAGTGCTGTAACAAAGATACAGCCAAGATTTATAATTTGATATTTTGGGGAAATGGTGTTAGGAGATAAATCTTCTATAATTTTTTTTTTTGCAAAAATATGAATGCAAAACAACTTATTTTAAAGTCCATTTTATGAAGTGGACCTCAGCCTTTAGATTCATAGAGACCTCCCTTTTCAGAAGGAAGAGATGATGATGGTAGAAAAAGAATTGTCTTTCATTATCATGCTGTTTTTTTATAGTCTCATTTTGTACTTTGTAATCAACTAACAGAAATTTCCTGAAGTATCAACATCTGTTAAGATGTATGATCTTGACCTGCAGGAAATTTTAATTTACTTTTCTGGCCTTCATTCACGAATAGTATAGATGCTTGTGTTCCAGTGTATTTTTTTTGTATCAAGACAGAGGCGTAAGAAGGGTGTTAGCTGTTTCTGGGCACGTGCCCTAGGACTTAGTAGGTTTTGAAGTGGGACTGAGTGGATCTGCCTGTGTTGACGTGCACGTGTCGCCTGACTTTGCAGCTGAACTACCAGCAGAAAGTGGGCATCATGTACTGCAGAGCCGGACAGAGCACCGAGGAGGAGATGTACAACAACGAGGCGGCCGGCCCCGCCTTCGAGGAATTCCTCCAGCTCCTGGGAGAACGAGTTCGGCTCAAAGGATTTGAGAAGTATCGTGCCCAGCTTGACACCAAAAGTAAGAGAAACTCATGCCCTCCTACTAGGCTGATTTTCCTCCTTCTGAGTTGATGTGCATTTGCTAAATTACCCGTAAAACCACAGTGCCAGTTATTGCAGAAAACTGCTGCCAGTGGGGGAGAGAATGCTAGAGAGGGAAGGTAGCTCCAAAACAATTGACAGTCATCATCAAAGCAACTAGAATGTGACAATAAAAAATAATGTTACCAGAGGTGTGGAGGAAGTAGGGCAGTGGACACGGACCATACAGAATTGCTCCGAGGTGGGGTTGTATAAATTTCATTACATTCAGCTGGATCTTAGGGTAAATAAAATCTCCAGAAACTTACAGTAAATATGATTATAAGCCCTGGAATATTTTACTTGCATTAATTCATTTCATAATCTTCATATTTATCTATGTAGTCAACCTTAGTATGGTTTTCTTAGTTATTTTTGCATTCTTTTAATATCTAGGTTTTTTGTTGGCTTCTCTTGTTGTTGATAGTCTAACTTGACGTCTAAGAAAGGAGACCTTTTAGCTTTGGTATTGGCGTGGCTCTTAAAATGTGTTGATTAAAAGCACGACAGTGAAACAGCGTGTTTGACTATGGTGCATGAGCCTACAAGGCTGTCCACTCCCATTCCCCAAGTCATTGATAAGATAGTTAAGTTCTCACATATGTTTGGGTTAGAATATGTTAACTTCTGTTCCATGTATGTCTACGTGGAGGCAGTTTTAAATTCTATCTGAAAATCCATCCCAAAACACCTGTAACCTGTTTTTCTTTGAGAGGGTCTCTGGATTAGCACATCTGTATTACAGTCTCTAGTAACCTCTCTGACTCTCTGTACAGGAAATTAAATAAGGAGTTGAGTCATGAAAACAGAAAAGCATTCATAAACTCCAGTGCAGGGAAGAATTTCCTGTTGCCATGGTTTTGCTGTTGCCAACTTGGAAACGACATGCAAGAGAGACTATTAAAACCCATAAATAGCCCAGCCTCTTAAATATTATTTTAACATTCCATACTCTGCTTGCAGCTACATAAAATGTTAAGTCTCGATATGCCCTTTAACTCTTTTTGATCCAGATATTCTGACATTCCCCCTGTATAATTCACTCTTGTTGTCCGGGTTTATTGTGCCGTATAAATTATCATCGTCACAAAGAACTATTGAAAGGATCTGGGAAGAGAATGTGTCACAAGCCCCGTGATTCTATAAATGAATGGTCCAACTGGGAGTTGATAAGACTATGTATTTACATATCCCCAGCCACCTCTTGGTGATGAAGGCAAGGTGGGAAATGTACAGCTGGGGTCCAGTGAAGCAACGCGGCATCTAACAAGGCAGTGGGATAAGATTCGGGCACAGTTTGCCCCACCGCCCCAGTGATTATAAAGGCTATCGAGGGGGTTGCTCCTGGATTAGTGAACTGCCTCTAACTGTAGTCTTGAAATTATGTTACAGTGTTCAGCAGGGAAGGGTCTTTCACTGAATGACCCTCCTGAAGTAGTTCAGTTTCTTGACACATCTCTAACATTTCAAGGCATATCTCTTGAGAAGGAGTCACAGGCAACCATCTTTTCCTGTCTTTTCAGGGTGTCAGATTTCCTAAAGTAACCAAAAAGTAGGAAAGTGTTTTTGCTCCAAAGCCCCAAAGAAGGCAGTATATAGGTCTCCATTATTAGCCTTGTCATTTAAATGCATATTAAATAATAATAGGCCACAGCCAGCCTCTGCACAGCCAGCAGCCTCCGGCTGATCGTGGCACACCCAGAGATAAGACTTTGCTCTGTGTGCTGTAACATCATCTCACCACGTTTCATCTAAATTTATTTTGGATCAAGAATCTTTCTTTCTGTAAATTATTTTTTAAGTGCTTTCCAGAACAAGTGTTCCTCTAGGATCATTCCCTTTGTAAATGTCACTTGAATCTATAGATTTGTAGTTTTTATCAAATTGAAATACTATTTGCCATTATCTATTTCTTTTTTCTGTCCCACCTCCCTTCTTTTTGAGTCTCCATTGACACGTGTGTTATATCACTTACTAATGTACCACAGGTTAATGAAGCTCTGTTCACTTTATTCTCAACCTCTTTATTATCTGTGCTTCAATTTGGATAAATTCTAGTATGTCTTCAAGCTCATTGTTTTTTATTTTCTTCCCTGGTGTCTTTTTTTGTTTTTTGGGTTTTTTTGCAACTTTCGGCCAGGGTTGGGTTTGAACCCACCACCTCTGGCATATGGGGCCTGGGCCCTACTCCTTTGAGCCACAGGTGCCTCCCCATTTCCCTAGTGTCTTAATCCATTGGTAATCCTACCCAGTGAATTTCCATGCATGCAAGATACATATTTCAAGACTAGAGGTTGCATTTGATAATCTTTTCTTTCTTTTTTTTTTTTTTTTGCATCTTTTATCTTTTCCTCTTTAAGGTCAAGATGTCTTGGACTTAAATAATAACAGTCCACCAGAACAGGCCAAGGACTTTCAGTACTTGGAGATGTTTACAATAGTTGCTTTAAAGCAGCAGTTCTCAACCTGTGGGTCACCACCCACAGGAACTGTATTAAAGGATCGCGAACCACTGCTTTAAAGTCTTCATTGCCAATTCTAGCATCTCTGTCATTTTGCGTTTCCCTCATTTTAATGTACCTCCTACTCTGGGGTACATTTTCCTGCTTCACATGTCTGGTTATTTTTGATTAGATCTTGGATATTGGATATTGTGAATGTTTCATCACTGAATTTTGTTTGGGAAGGCAATTAAGGTACTTACAGAACAGCTTGATTCTTCCTAGTCTGTTTTTAAGCTTTGTTAAAGCATACCTACCTTACCCTTTTTTCTCTGTTTAATTTAGCCCTACAACTAAGGCATGACTTTCCTTGCCCCTAAATACCTGTGTATTAAATGAAGTGTCCCTCCTGTGTCTGGTCACAATGCCAGTGTCTTCCAAGCCTCTGGAAACTGCTGTAGGAATGATCTTGTTTACAATTCTCTGGTGGTGGTTCTTTCCTTCCCAGGTTTTCTTTGCTTGGCTTTTAGAATTTAACTCTAAACATGTGCAGCTCACTATTCATCCCCAGACTGAAGGAGACCTTTATTCCGATTTCTGAGCCTCTCCCCGTGCGTTTCCTTCTCTTTGGTGTTCCTCTCAGCAAGCGCCAGCTGCCTCAGACCTCCTGCGCTCCAGTCTAACTTGTCTTCAGAGCCTTGTTCTTTGGTGTTGTCCTAAAAGTGCTCAAGGAGGAAAGCCCAACAAATCAGGGGTCTCATCTTCTTTGATTCTCTTTTCTCAGAGATCACGGTCCAAAGCTGCCTAGTGTCCAGTATCTGAACACAGTTGTTTCATATATTTTGTTATTTACAGTGGCAAGGTGAGTCTTGTGTCAAGTGCTTTGTTATGGCTGGAAGCAGAAGTCCCAGATACTTGTGATCTATACGGCGGACATAAAATTCATGTGCAATTTAAATTAGTTTACTATTTAAATCACACGTGAACTTTATGTCGCCCTGTATTCATATACCATCTTGTTTGCTTCCCACAAACTCTGCTAGATACCAGGTATCCACAATTTACAGAATTGGCTACTTTAAATTAACTAACATGCCCGTGGTTAGACAGCTGGTAAGCGTTAGGGAACTAGAACAGGCCCTAGAGGGGTGGTAATGAAGTGCTCAGAGAAAGGATAAGTGCACAGTTCAGCACAGTGAAGACCCTAACCCGGCCTGTTGCCTGTCCCCTCTGCCAAGCCTGGGCCAGCCGTACCCATACATCTCATGCGGTAGCTCTGCTCATCCTGTGTTAGGTTCAGATTCAGAGTCTGGTACTTCTGTGAAGGAGAGGAGGGCAAGGAAGGGATGGAATGATGGAGCTCTTGAACCGTTTCCCCCTTTCCCCAGTTATCTGTGCGAAAAATCCGTTTTCTCCTCTCAGAAATAAGGACTTGTGCAGACAAACCAGCTATAAATCAATATGTCATAGGATGGGAAAATTCTGCAATGAAGAAATTGTCAGTAGTGGATGTTTTTTCACCCTTTCTGGTTTCCTTATTTGAATGACATAACCTGTGTCAGGGTATTCAACTGGTGCCACAGGCCACGCTCTGATTTTGTGAGGACTCTTTCTGCTTATCAGTGGTGGTTGGCTATCTTGACTAGTAGGCACAGACTCTTTTTTTTGCTGATCGGCTTTCATTAGCATTTATGTATTTAATGTGTGGCCCTTCTGCCAGTGTGCAGTAGAGAAAAATGAAAGGTTGGACACCCCTGTTCTAGGTAATTACCATTCCCTCACACTACAATAAATACAAAAAGAACTTCCCACCAAGCAGTTTGTTATGTGAAAGCTGGAGACCACCCTCGTTGTAAGCTGCGCACATGGATTATTATCTGCGAAATTATTTCCCAGCCAAACCTGGTCAGGTCAGTACACAGGAGACTGAGAAGCCCTGTGGAAAGCATTCCTTCAGAGCCCTGTCTTCACGGGTTTGCTGCAGTGTTGACAAAAGCGCGTTCCCACCTCCATTTTCAGCAATATTACAAAGGCAGTTGAGATTCAAGGTCTTCGAGGAGATGGAAGATTCTTCATTAAAAAAATAAAAAATCCATCTTTATTTTGATTTGGGAAGGGGTAACTGGCACATGCAAAAGACTATTTGTACTTCTGTAGTCTGACAAAGTAATTATTTTTAAGGAAGCGCTATACTTTTTACCTTAACTATCCAGAATTCCAGGCAACACATTTCTTGAGCATCTTTTCTGAGGCTAGCACTTTCATGCAGACTAATTCATCACCACAACCACAACATTGAGAATATTGAAGGAGAGAAATGAAGTTCCTTGTTTGTAGTCACTGTGCAAGTGACACTGTTAGCATTCAGATTCAGATCGTCTTCTTCCCAGCTGGGAATCCAGGTAATTTTAAGTGTCTTGCAGCATGACAGAAAGCAGAAAATGGTGATGTCTGGTTACATTACCCCGTACCACCCCTTCCTTTTCTCTCAGCATTTTAGTGATTTTGAGGAGCCTTGACCCCCCAGGTGCATCCCCATTGCACAGTCACACTGCCCTTGACCTAACGCGGTATAAATTTGCCTCCCTTCTCGATCCCATCTTCACTGAAGTAAAGTAACCTATCACCTTATCATGGCTAAAGATACATTGATTAATAAGATTGGCAAATAGTATAATAGATGCCCTAGCAGGAGGAATTCTTGACTCCTCCCCCCCAAAATACTTTAATTAGTAAGCAAGGAAATAGTACTACCAGGTCTACAGCCTGCCTCTTTTTGAATAAGTGTTCCAGAAGTGAATATTTGCCTCCCTGCTGTGCTTCTGAGCAAGTGACTTCTACTCCCCGGCCCCTGAATAGATGTGAGGTCTGTCTGTATCTGACTGCACCATGAGGGTATCAGTGGATGGACCCCAGCAGCCTACTGACAATTATAATATTTAAATTATAAATAAGAATCAGACCCAGATTTTGTTTTTGTTTTGGCATTTGATGTGTTTAATAGTGGTGTGGGCATTAAAACCCAAGCTTAAGCTTTCTTCATTCTATTTATTAGCATATGCATTTAATTAATGTGATTACTTTTTCCTTATGTTCATAAATATTTAAAATTAGGAAAGCTGAGCATGGTGGCTCACGCCTGTAGTCCTCAGGGAGGCCAAGGTGGGAGGATCACTTGAGCTCAGGAGTTTAAGACCAGCCTGAGTAAGAATGAGAGACCCTATCTCTACTAAAAATAAAAAACAACTAGCCAGGTGTTATGGCGGGTGCCTGTAGTCCCAGCTACTCGGGAGGCTGAGGCAGGACAATCACTTGAGCCCTAAAACCTGAGGTTGCTGTGAGCTATGATGATACTAGGGCACTCTACCCAGGGCGACAGAGTTAGACTCTGTCTCAGAAAAATAAAAAATAATTAAAACTAGGAAATTTCCAAAAGTCAAATTATATAGGCCTGTTTTCCTTCATCTAGCTTTTATGAACTCTAACATATTTTTTTAAAGCCAGAAAATACTTATATGAAAGTTAAAAAACAAAAACTTTACTTACTTTTTCCTGATTCAGATGCATGCCTTCATCATCTGAAGCTTTAGACTTCCTGAAAGCCAAAGAGTTGGGCCCATGGAGAAGTGAAGAATGGTAATGACATTGACTGTACCCAAAACTGCTCTGCAAACGTTTATAATACTAACTCGTTCATATCTTCTTCAAATAGAAATGCTTAATGTAGGACCTTATCACTTACCTACACTTTTTCAAAGCAGCTGGGAAGAGCAGTCTTAATCATTCCTCAGTGTCTTCTTCTTATCCTCTAGTTTGGACATGAATAGTTTTACTTTCTGTGTGACTTAACTGTAGAGTACTGACCACAGTAGTGGATATACGCCCGTCACTGATAGTGTAATTTGGAGGCAGAGCAGGTGATTGTCAAGGTGACCTATAGAATATCTGAATTTACCTTTGAAGTTCTAAAGCTCTGACAGCTGGCCATATCCTTCCATCCTTCTGCAAGCACCTTGTTCCTTTAGAGATTGCTCAAGATACTGCTCTTTAACCAGATAAAAGAGCATTTTTTTCATTTTCCTAATTTTTATTTTCCTAATAGTCATTGTATTTAAACTTTTATGGTTTCGAGGTCACTAAAAATATAAGAACAACAACATTGGATGCCTTATTCTTTAGAAAGTATAGCAAATCTCCTTTTTCCATTCTCCCCGGTAATGTTTAGCAACTCTATTATGTGTATAAGAATTTTAGGATTTTGGAATCCCCTTCTCAGAAAGGAGAGTTTCATTGTTTTGGCTCTAGCTTCATCTCTGAAAGTTTTGAAATTATTTTTAAGCTGCTTGAAAATTATCAGCAAAACTGTGGGATTTCTAAAGGTCCTCAAAAGAGGACAAAGTCAAGGACCCTGTATTGTTAAGTGAAACGGAGCCTGGAGAGGAAAGAGAGGGGCGGCAGGAAAAGCTGACTTCAGGGTTGCCTTCCATAGCCTTTTCCTCCTTCCTAGAATTAGACAGGCATACAAAGACAAATGAAATAAATGAATGCTGGGTGACATCCTTTTTTTCTGGTTCATTAATTTTGCTTAAAATTGACTTGAAACACACGTAAGTACATGACAAAGCTGACACATTCACTTTAAAGTCTTAAAATGTACTGATCAGTTCTACAGATATTTATAGCAAGGGTCCTTGACAGTCGGTAAGTTCTTCACACTCAAGGCCTGTCTCAAATAGTTGAAATGAGCACTTGATTCTAGCAATATGCAAGGGGGTTTTGGTGCTCAGTGATACTGACAAGATATTTTTCTTGGGTAGTTATATGGTGGTACATAGTTTAGCGAGTTTTGAAAAGTAGTCTTTGTTCTATATTTAGCTTATTTATAAACCTTTGCATTTCATGTTAGCTTCAAAATTTAGATCCTCCAAAAAGCTTAAGCATGAGACTCAGACTCTAGAACATCTTTAGAAAGCTACTGCAAGCCACCCTGGTAATTTATTCTCAGAGCAGTGCCTAAGGGCAGTGGAGCTTGTGTCAGAGTTAAAATCGGTTATCTTTTTTTTTTTTTTTTGAGACAGAGCCTCAAGCTGTCTGCCTGGGTAGAGTGCCGTGGCATTGCAGCTCACAGCAACCTCCAACTCCTGGGCTCAAGCAAGTCTCCTGCCTCAGCCTCCCAAGTAGCTAGGACCACAGGCGCCCGCCACAACGCCCGGCTATTTTTTGGTTGCAGCCGTTGTTGTTGTTTGGCGGGTCCGGGCTGGATTCAAACCTACCACCTTAGGTGTACGTGGCTGGTGCCTTAGTCAGTTGAGCTATAGGTGCTGAGCCAGCTATAGGCGCCGAGCCCGGTTATCTATTAAAAATAGGTTCCTTGGCTGGATGGAGTGGCTCATGCCTATCAGCCTACCACTTTGGGAGACTGAGGCAGAAACATCATTTGAGGTCAGCAGTTTGAGACCAGCTACAGCAAGAACAGGACCCCATCTCTACTAAAAGTAGAAAAATTAGGCATGGTGGTACCACCTATAGTCCCAACTACTCAGGAGGTGGAGGCATGAAGGTTGATTGAGCCCAAGAGTTAGAAGTTGCTATGAGCTATGATGATACCACTGTAGCCTGGGCAATAGAGCGAGACCCTGTCTCAAAAACAAACAAACAAACAAAAAAACCCAGAATAGATTCCTCAGGGAGTCTGCCTATTCATCTAGCTTTCTGGCTATTGCTGTATGTACTAAATTTTGAGAAATCTACTGCCTTTTGGTATATGCCAGAGGCCTTTTCTTCCAGCACCACTCTCTAAAATGCAATAAAATGTTTTGGTCCTGAAAAATATTGTCAGTGGAGGTTTAAATTTCTTCAAAAGAATGAATCACTTCTGTTCCTTTTTGCAACCCGTAAGTTCAGGTAGGTCCTTTGAGTCTAAACAGATACTCCCATTCATTCAGTTGGGCAGTTAGCAGCTCTCTGGTTTCCGGGTGTTTGTGGGCACATTGATTCTGAAACTTTGTTAATGGTTAAGGCAGTAAAGGTCGTTTTATCCTTAAAGAAGGTGAGAACACAACATACCTAAGTCTTCTAAAAAATTTGGGCCACTATTGTAGTACTTTTGTTCTTCAGTGTTAATTGTCTTCTTAAATTATCATCGACTTGTTAAGAACAAAACAGTTCTCTTGCTTGAATTAGAAGCACCAGAAAAGAGATTCTTACCATTAAGTTTGTGGACAGAATTCAGGGGTCTGTGAACTTGAATGGGAAGTATTTTTATCTTTATTTTCATTGTCGCCAAGTTGAACTTTAGCACCTCCTTCAATTATAAGCATCAGCAGCAAACCATAGTAGCATAAGCTCTACCTGTGACTTTATTGCCAATACAAAGCACAGATATTTTCATACCGTATTTATTGTTGCAAATATCTTAAAATATTGTTTGTGCTCCCTCAAAATTGTAGTAGATGTTAGACCACTTGCTAAGTCTTGTTATACATCTTATACATACCATATTTGTAAATTATTTGATAATTGTGTTTTTCAGTATAATTGATTTCTTTTGAAATGTTAAGTATTTTATACTTTTACAAATCTTATTCCAAGGGATCCAATCCACAGGCTTCATTAGATTGCCAGAAAGGATCAGGTACCAAAGAGTGGGTGGGAACACTAACCGTGCTCCTGTCTAGAATCCTCTCATCCTAAATCATTTTCTTTCTTTCTTTCTTTCTTTCTTTTTTTTTTTTGAGATATTTCTCTTAAATGAATTTTTTTTTATTCTTACAGTCATCTCATCATTATATTTTTTTTAACTGTAGCTGACTCCACTGGAACTCATTCTCTGTACACAACATACAAAGACTATGAGATTATGTTCCATGTTTCCACCATGCTGCCATACACACCTAACAACAAGCAACAGGTAAGAGAGCCTCACCTTATCCGTGTTTTCAGCCTTGTTTGATTTTCCCCAGAAGCCTAAGTGACAACTTTGTAAAATCTTAAACCAGAATTTAGGGTTGCACCTGTCAGAGCAGCAGGAGGCTTTCTGCGTTGTGGAAGTGAGGAATAGCAGATGAGCTAAAAACAAATGAAGAGACACAAATTCTAGGTTAACAGCCAGCTGGATGGCTTTGTGAATTAATCATTTGCTTTTCACCCACGGGGATTGAGGTTTTCATGAAATCTGAAAAGAACAAGTTGAAATCATTGGTGATTAGATGACTCTGCAGTGTTGCAAAAACACGTATGAGTGGGTGAAGTTTCATCTCAAGAGGCCAGTGTACAAAGCAGAAAAGTACTCATGTTTCATTTTAGATTTCAAAGGAGATTTAATATACTAACTTAGAGAAAAGTCAAAATAAAGGTCAGTGGAATCTGTGAAGAATATTCTTTCATCACATGTTTCATCAGGAAGTAGCAAAAAACATAGATAACAATTGCATGTTGCATACACAGAGATTCTCTTAAGATGGTCTAAAATCTCAAAGCCTGATTGCTAAAATGTGAGATAATAGTTAAAATGTAGAAACACAGGAAGAGACAGCTTGGCCAAAATGGAAGCTGGCAGTATTATTACAGAGAATATGTGGTAGTTGTTATTAAAAAAATATTTCAAAACAATACCAAACCCAAACTGAGAGCTAACAAACTCTCCTTTCAACATCAGGCTAGTTTTACTTTTAATTTTAAAATGGATAAGGATTTTTGTGATTGTCAGTCATTGTGCAGACAATGCACAGGCCAGCTGCAGAACAGATTGCAGCCTCTTTCAAAGAATTTAACCAAAAGCCGATCTAACTTTGGGTTCGATCAAATCACAAATCTAGGTAACAGAAGTTTGCCTTTCATGATCACTCAGATCATGAAGTTGTGAAATCTCTCAAATCAGAGACAGGAAACACAGTAGTGAATCAGCTCTAAGTCTGAAATTAACGTATGTTAATGTAAACTCCCTGGTTTATACTTGGTTGACAATTTGTTTTATGCAGATTTCAAGTTCTAGATCTTTTGGAGAGGGAAACATCATGCTAAAAAGTGCTACTAGACTTCTAGCCAGCTATGATGGCTCATGTCTATAATCCCAACACGTTGGGAGGCCAGAGTGGAAGGATCACTTGAGTCCAGGAGTTTGAGACCAGGCTGGACAACGTAGTGAGACCCAGTCTATTCAAAAATAGCCAGGCATAGTGGCATGGCACCTGTAGTGCCAGCTACTCAGGAGACTGAGGCCGTAGGATCACTTGAGCCCGGGAGTTTGAAGTTGCAGAGAGTATGATGATGCCACTGCACTATAGGCCGATAACAGAGTGAGACAAAAAGAACAATATACTTGATTTCTTTTTCTTTTCTTTTCTTTTTCTTTTTTTTTTTTTTTTTTTTTGCAGTTTTTGGCCGGGGCTGGGTTTGAACCCGCCACCTCTGGCATATGGGGCTGGCGCCCCACTCCTTTGAGCCACAGGCGCTGCCCTATACTAGATTTCTTATTCTGACCAGTCAGTAGATTAAAAATTTAAGAACATTAACAAATGATCTTTGAAGGGGAGATAAAGTCTTTTTCTACCTGATCATTCAAAGAGAAGCGTGAGATTTGTGAAGGTTAAAAATTTAGTAACGGGATCCAATTAATTATTTCTAACTAAATGAGTTGAAGTGCTGGACAGAGAAAGTTAGCATTTAGATGGACAGCTATCTAAATTATTTAATTTTAGTGTCAAATCAAAGCAAAAATGTTACAGTCTAATCCAAATGAGGAAGTAATTGGCACTGCTACTTTTCAATCTCTACCTAAAAAATATATTTACTTCTTCAGAGCTTACTCTATAATCAGAAAAGAACAAAATGTATCTCTTTTCCATGCATTTTTTAAGTGATATTTTCCTATTACATATAGTGTGAGGTAGATAAATGGATTTGTTTCTATTTGAATTCTTTATTAGAACTTACTTTCTTTCTTCTTTCTTTCTTTCTTTCTTCTTTCTTTCTCTCTCTCTCTCTCTCTCTCTTTGTCTCTTTCTCTCTCTCTGTCTGTCTCTTTCTCTCTATTCCTTTCTTTTTTTGAGACAGAGTCTTACTCTGTTTCCCAGGCTAGAGTGCCATGATGTCTGCCATGATGTCAGCCTAGCTCACTGCAACTTCAAATTCCAAGTGATCCTCTGGCCTCGGCCTCCCAAATAGCTAGGACTATAGGTACCTGCCATAATGCCCAGCTAATGTTTTCTGTATTTAGTAGAGATGAGGTCTTGCTCTCACTCAGGCTTGTCTTGAACTTCTGAGCTCAAGCATTCCTCCTGCCTTGGCCTCCCAGATTGCTGAGATTACAGGCGTGAGCCACTACACCAGCCCAAGACATCTATCAGGCCACACATTCCATAAAGAATGACTTTATGCAAAAACAGTACCAACCCAAACACAAAAAGTATAATGATGTCATCTATGCAGGAATTGCATAATCCATAATTAGTATTTTCTTTGGGTGTGTTCAAGATCTTGGGTAGATCCGTCTTTTAATTATTGGTATATTTGACATAGCAATCAATACAGACCAGCATTTATTTTCATAACATTGGATTATATAACAAGTTTAGAAATGAAGGAAACTTCCTCAGTAGGAGACAGTTAGGGATGCTTTCAAATTCCTGAGATTAAAAATACATTTCCTAAATATTCTAACTCCCAGTTCTCAACCTTAATCTAAAAGTTATTGTTTCTCCCAGTCGGCAGCCGATACTAGATCATTGATACTTCTGGTGTGTAATTTGTGTACTCCAGTGTCACTAGAGAATTGATAAAAACAACAAGTTTTATAAGGACAAGCTTAGTTTCTATAAATGTCACATTTCATTGTTTTGCTCTTCTGAGAGCCTCCATACAGTATAGATGAGAAATATCAATTTTGTTCAATTTTTCTTTTTACTATTGAATCAAACCCCTGAAAAGGCACTGCTTTAGTGTGATTCCGGATGTCTGATCGTGAAGCCACCCATCCAAAATGCTGTTTAATGTGAAACAGAAGGTGGTCTTAAGCAGCTTTCTCTGTAATTAAAGAAGCTATTTAAACTTGAAGTTTAATCTGCTTTTGAATTTTTACAACTTGCTGGAATATTACTAATTTTTCCATTCCTAGTTTCTGACACAAAAAGTATATCACAAAACACCTAAGCTACATTTTCTTTAAATGAAGCCAATTAAACCAGAACATAAATTGCACTGTAATTACTTCAGCCATTCCCATCTCTAAAGATCGTCCCTCTAGTAAGTTTCTTTCTTATGTGAAAATGGAACAAAACTGTTGTTATGGAAACTGAGGATTCAGAGAGTCAGGGACTTGGCATAATATGCCAAATATCGGTTAAATCTATTTGAAGGCTATATCTTTAATGCAAATTTCAGCATATTCATTTCTCTGTCTTCTTCCTTGGAGGGAATGATAAGACAGGCTAAAAAATATTGACAATAATTGTGTAGATTACCTACCCTAATAAATACTGATTAGTAATGAATGTTTTAAATACAGTTACATAAGGGAATTATTTGGGAGGAGAAAACCAGAGCCCTGTCATTTATGTTGGTTGCTTATTTTTTCTTGTAGCTCCTACGGAAGCGGCATATTGGAAATGACATCGTAACAATTGTTTTCCAAGAGCCTGGAGCACAGCCGTTCAGCCCAAAAAACATCCGATCTCACTTTCAGCACGTTTTCGTCATTGTCAGGGCGCATAATCCCTGCTCTGACGGTGTCTGTTACAGGTGTGTATTGGTGCCACCGTGGTGGCTGGGTGGACCTTGGCACAGAGGCCCCATCTAGCTCTGCTCTCTGAAATGGCAGTGGCCCCTTCCTATTTATTTTTATCTTTAAACTGTGCATGCCGATGGCTGAGTTCACATGCTGATGTAATCGGTGGCATTGACATCCTCAGACATGTTGTTTAGACACTTGCCGTTTCCATTTGCACCTCCTTCTTAGGTGAAGTCCTTCATCCCTGCCATCTGGTCACCAGCTAATTACTCATATTGCTAATTATATTTTTCTCTTGGCATGGCAAAAGCAGAGAAGAATGATCAGAATAAATAGGGAAGAGAAGTTCCTTTTTTAGAAAAGTATTATTTTTTAAAAGGCCCAAACCCTTGCCTCAGACTTAACGTGATGGACACTAACACTTCTGACTACAAGCTTGAAGGTATTTCTCTGTAAGCACTTTTTGAGATTGTTTCCATGTTGCCTAGTGGCTTATTCTCATGAGTATAAGCCTGCAGGCCTCTATCTGTGGAGGCCTTTATAAGAAGACCAGGGTGGTTGGGTGTTGCAGGGGAAGGGAACCTGTGATGCTGGCTTGATGTGGGTGTCGTGCCAGGATGTAAAAGAATAATGTTCCAGCATTTGTAAGATGTTTATTTTATTTTTTTTTTTAATTTCAAAAAATTAAGGGGGCATAAATGTTTTTGTTACCTGCATTGCTTTTATAATGCCTGAGTCCCAGCAGTGAGAGAGCCCATCATCCAAATGGGGTTCACTATACCTGTTAGGTAGGTTTTTGCCCCTTTCCTCCTACCCCTGAAGGCTTTTGTGGCTTGTTTGTTTTTTGAGACAGAGTCTTACTCTGTCACCATGGCTCACAGTAACCTCACTCTTGGGCTCAAGCAATCCTCTTGCCTCCGCTGCCTGAGTAGCTGGGACAACAGGCACCTGCCACGAAGCCCAGCTAATTTTTTCTGTTTTTAGTAGAGATGGTGTCTTACTCTTGCTGAGGCTGATCGTGAATCCTGAGCTCAAGTCATCCATCTGCCTCCTTCTCAGAGTGCTACCATTACAGATATGAGCCACCACACCTGGCCTAAAGACATTTCCAGTATGCACCAATCATTTCAAAATACAGAGGTTGAACATGTCTATACTGCCTAAAATAGGGGTGGTTAGGCTTTGTTAAGTTTGAATATTTGTCTTTAAGAAGTGACCAACACTGACGTGACGATTGCTATGTGAGATCTATAACTGTCTAATTCTAGGAATGCTGCAGGTTAATTCTTGGAGGAGAGCAAGCGGAGTTTAGGGGAGAAAACAAGTAAAGGTTACTTGGAGGTCCTGCTGGCTGCCACCATCTTGCACATATCACAGTAATGGCACTGCTTGAGCTCGTGCTGTAATCCCAGCATTAGTCTAGGCAACTTACCTCAGCCCAGGGGGCTTATGCTGATTTTGTGAGGACTTTTGCAAACCTGTGAGGTAGATCCTGTTTTTGTCTCCAATTTCAGATAATGCAATTTGAGCACCCGGTGGCTGGTGACTCTCCTGCAGTGAGCTGGCAGTGCTGGGTCGTCCGGCTGGTGTCCAGTAAGGCCGATCCCAGAGCCTGCACTCCTGACACTGCTGTTGTGCTGGCTGTCACCCATGCCAGGGATTCCAGGTCTCTCGTTTCTTAGGCTCCGGGGGTAGGAACAGCAATGGGAGAGACCCAGATCTGGATTCTCTTATCAAGGATATAGTCACTGAAAGTTCCTTTGTCTAGTTGTAGAAGGAAAGAGTAAGCACAGAACATTCAACTGTAATTGGAATGGATAACTGTTTTCACTTACAAAGTACACTGAGCACTTAAAACACACCTTGTACTTGACTCATGCAAAGAACTTCATATTACTCTGTAGATGGAAAGCTAAACCCTTTTTGAATGGACGCTAGGAAGTTGGGGGACTGGAAAGCTATGCGATTTCTTTCAAAGAGATTTTCTTTTTTTCAAGACTTAATCTAAACCAGTACTGTCCAAGAGAAATGTAATGTAACCCACATGTTAATTTTATATTTTCTAATAGCCAGATTTTTTAAAAAGGTAATAAGATGTAGGTGAAAGTAATTTTGGCCCTATTTTTAACCTGATATTATATATTTACATAATATATCAAAATGAATTACCATGTATTTTTTAATGTTGAAAAACCATTGTGACATTTTACATTTTTCATACTAAGTCGTTAGAATCTGGAGTGCATTTTGGATTTACAGTGCCTTTTTTTTTTCCTTCTCATTATTTTGCCCTGGGTAGAGTACCTGAGCATCAGCCTAGCTCATAGCAACTTCAAACTCTTGGGTTCAAGCAGTCCTCTTGCCTCAGCCTCCAGAATAGGTGGGACTACAGGCATTTACCACCATACCCGGCTAGTTTTTATACTTTTATTAGAGACAGGGTTTCACTCTTGCTCAGGCTGGTCTCAAACTCCTGAGCTCAATCAATCCTCCTGCCTTGGCCTCCCAGAGCGCTGGGATTATAGGCATAAGCCACCACAGTCAGCCAGCTCACAGCACATTTCAATTAGGATGCCAAATTTTCATTGGTAATTCTTAATCTGTATTTAAATTTCATAAACTTTATCATTGAAAAGGTAGATAGATATATATACACACACACGTATATATACCCAAATTGTTCCAAGTACAGTTTTTAAAAGCTCGCAAACTGAATTATCAGTGTTTTAAATTTAAATTAATGAAAATTTAATTAATATTCCTTGGTTGTACTAACCACGTGCTCCGTAGCCACACGCGGCTAGTGCCCACTGTCATGTGTGAGCCAGCTGTTAGGAAAGGGTGTGGCCTTCTTCCATGCTTTGTTGTTTTATTTTATCCCTCCCTCCCTGAAACTTTTGATTTTTGCTGTCTCTTTCTATTATTTTTAGTCTGTTGCCTGGAAATCCCATCTCTTTAACCCAGCATGTGACACTGGGAGGAGGACACTGAGATTCCCTGCCCCTGACACGTGGGCAGGTCTGGAATTTGCTAGTTGGCCAAGCTTACTTGAAGGACCAACACACAGTTTTTAAACTGTGGATTTGGCCTGTAATAAATCCAAGAGAACCTGTCAGCTTGTAACATTACTCAAAGAGATCACAAGAAATTATCAAGTAGTTGACCTTCTCCTGTTGTAAGCTCTAGGTAATTATTCTCCCTTCTTCTCAGAAAAGGTAGGCCCCTTTCCTGGAGTATGCTGTGATGTCAAGAGGTTTTCGAGGGCACAGAGTCTATAGGGTACCTCTCTCATAGCCTTTCATGTTGAAAGGGGAGATGAGAGTGGTTCATTTCCTTATGAAAATAAATGTATTATAAAGTAGAATAGAACATTTGTATTAATTCTAAGATAAAACATGGATCTTCAAAGAATTTCTATATCCATGAGTTTTTCTCCTACGAGGGATGTGAATTTAAAGGCATCTTTCTTGTTATGTTTTTACTAAAGTCTAAAAAAATAAAATAAAGGCATCTTTCATTAGGAGTACTTTGGTGGGGAAGTTTAGAGATGCATTGATTTACTCTCATTTTATCTAAAGGTAACTTTCCCTAAGGAATGTAGCTACAGTCGTTTAAATGCTTTTTATCATTTAAAATCTCTTGGTGCCATCTCTCTCCACCATGACCATTCGTATATTTATTTACTTACACACCTACTTGGTACTTGAAATGTGGAAAGTAGAAAAGTTTCCTTAGGTGTGTCTTGCTGTAGCAGTATAGAGAATGTGGAGTGGTTATAGGCTGAAGTTATAACAGTCAAGAAGATGGGATTTGGTGTGTATTTTAAAGCACAAATGGCTGGAATTCAGTGGGATGGAGAAATCATTCTAGCAGTGCTCAGTGGTAGTCTGGACAGAGACCAGAGAAGGGAGGAAGCGCCGTGACAAGGCTACTGACGTAGGAAAGATAACTACTCATTGGGCCTTTGCAATGCCAGACCATCAAAGTAACACCATATAAATAGAATTTTAGAAAAAGTTTATCTGATGTCTCCCGGCAAGCTAATTTGTACACATATTGATAAACTTGGAGGTTGTTGCTGTCCATTTAAATTTTTCACAATTTCTTTATCCAGCCCTTATCATATACACCTCTGAGTCCACCACCCATAGGCCTGTAACAAACTGGTCAACATACAGAGGTGGTCGATATAAGGAACGAGGTCTATGGCACTGACATATACATGGTGCATGTCCAATGTGAAAATCAGATCAACTTAAGGAGGTGTTCAGTACAGGGAGGTGGTCAACTCTGGAGGTTCTACTGTATATGCAAGGCACACTGTCGTAGGCCTTAGGTTGTAACAGGAGAAGAAAAAGACAAAAATCCCCATAATAGATCCAGAGATGAGGTCCTAAAATAATGTAGTATTATATATCTCCCTGGAGACTAGAAAGTTCGTCTGGGAAAAAGAGGCCGGTTAACCTTCAATAGTCATGATATAACCAAGAATGCAGAAACCAGTTACTAAGTCTGCACGCTAAAGCTTATCCTATGACTCCAGGATAAGAGAGCTCTCCAGTCTATTATTTTATTTGTATCATTGCAATGAGCTTAATTGTCTAGTCCTGGTTGGTGGAGCAAATTAGAAGCAATGAAATCTAAAAAAAGAAGCAGCAGTTAATGGCACATCTATGCTAAAGACATTGGTATGTGATTACTGAGAGAGGAGATGAAGAAAACTATGTCAGAGATACAAAGTGAATAAGTATAGCAGTCTGGAATCATTTGGTAGTGGTCTCCCTTTATTTACAGGGATATTTGTATTCTGAGACCCTCCTAGTGAATGCCCCAAACTGAGACAAGTAGTCCCAGCTAGTTGGGAGGCTGAGGCAGAAAGGAGGCTGAGGGGGTCACTTGAGCCCAGAAGGTGGAGGTTGCTGTGAGCTAAGCTGACGCCATGACACTGTAACATGGGCAGTAGAGCAAGACTCTGTCTCAACAAATCCAATATATGTTGTGTTTTTTCTGT